CCACTTTTGTTCCCGATGTCCTCCTTGCTCCCTGCCCCGATTTGAATTTTCCCCTGAGGTCAAGACAGTTGTAGTCTTTCCCCAGCAGAGCTCTCTGTGCAGGCCTCTACATCAGCAAGGGCAAAGCCAGCTTGCACCCATTTTACAGCTTTGCCATGGTTACCTGATAAGAGTGTGAAAGTGACAGAATAGATCCCGTTCTCCTTCTGCGCCTCTCCCCCTTCTGTGTATGTTATGTCCACCTGGAACTTCACTGGCTTCTGGAAGACCGCAGGACCTCCTGTGGACTTATATTCTGCACGGAAACTTGTCTGTGAGATGACACTGTGACTGAGGCTTGGAATCTGAAACAGGTCAGTAGAAGGAGACAGTAGAACCAGAGCACAGAGGGCACAAACAGAATGGCAAAATTCAATTTAGAACAATACACGTTTCCAGAGTGGGCAAGATCTGCTGGATTTGCTTCTGTAACGTATAGGGTGTCCTTGTGAAATCAGTAAGAGTGTAGGTTGCTTGTCACTGCAGAAGAATGCACTGCTCCTTACAGGCCTGACCTAAATGTAATGGTTGAATCTTGGTGGAATACCCAGCATGATTATGAATTTACACGTTGCACAACTTCACACACCCAGTCTTCCTTTTCCTGCTCATCTATCAGTCTTGAGAAATGCCTTTTGCTGGGTGAAAGCTGATACGAAGGGAGGGGGCAGAAAAGTCAGTGGGATATAAGGCTGGATATAAAAAGCCACCTGAGGAGCCTGATCTGATCTCATAGCTGATCCTCTTTTGAGCAGGAGATCTGAAGTCCTTTCCAACTTCAATTGTTTGGTGATTCTATGATATCAAATAGACATCAGGACACGGAGCAGACACTTAGACAAGTGCCTGGGACATCCAAAGGGAAAGCATGCCTGCAAATAACTTACCCAAACCACAACTCCTGTCAATATACAAAAGAACTTTGAGAACCTTTCTGGTATCACCCAACATCTATATCTTCACACCTGTGGTAGAATTTCTTAACTGTCTAATTTTCAAGCAGTTACCATTCCAGAGCACTGGAACAAGCTGCCCAGGGAGGTTGTGGAGTCTTCTTCTCTGGAGACATTCAAGACCCGCCTGGACGCCTTCCTGTGTGATCTCAATTAGGTCCCTGATCCAGCAGGGGGATTGGACTGGATGATCTAGTGAGGTCCCTTCCAATCCCTAATACTCTGTGATTCTGTGATTCACAGTTCCTGCCAAAATTTAACATACTCACATTCTATTTACTGCTTCATAAAGGACCAGATTTAAAACAAAACAAAACAAATCCCAGAAAAATCACTTGGAAATCTGGCCTCTAATTTAGAAGGAAAAATGAAGATGAGTTCTTTGAGTAGCTGACCTTAAGGGCTTACTTAGCAGGCTGTGACAATGCATTTAAGTTTGAGGTTGGCTGTAAGAGATGATTCACAGGGTTTGCACCCAAATCACTACAGCACACCTCAATCCACAGGTGTGGGCTACGCACAGGATCCCCAATACAGACAGCAGTGCACACTGTGCCACGCCATAAACCCACAAACACAGCTAAATGCACAAAACATCCAGTGACGTGGCTGTTTCAACCAGTCTGAGATGAATACCAGTGTCTGCTGCCCGCTGCTATACTGGGCTTGCTCCTTGTGTGCCTGTACAGTTAAAAGGATTATGGCTGGGTTTTTGGAAGAAATTCATTGCAGCATCATAGAGACTAAAAGGGAGTGCAGTATTTTGTGGAAAAGAGTATCAATTCAACAAGTGATATAAGAAATTAAGTCTCCTTCTCTTAATTCAACAATTCAACAATTCAACAAATGATATAAGAAATTAAGTCTCCTTCTCTTAATTCTATTGAAAAAAAGTGTAATTATGTTGTCAACTACCTTGAATGGAAAAAATCTTTCAAATTAACTTCACTGTGCTGACTTCTTCTTCACTGATACTTCTAGATAGTGAAAATAAGGACTTTCTATAGGAAAAAGTGTCAATTTCCCTCTGCTTTCCTAGACTGCAAATAAACTAACTTCTGCAACAACTGATACTCCAGTCACCAGAGGCAATTACCCTTCTTTCTGCCATACGCCATTGAAGAGGAGATTTCAAGTAACAAATTCAGATGCGAGACAGGATTTTTATCTGACTAACGTGGTGGAGGCCATACCCACACCCTTCTCCGAGAAGTAGACCCCACCTGATGGTGACTGTAAGGGTAGTTTGACAAAGCAGCAGATCACTGTCACTGACACGGTGCCAGCAGCGTGCTCTAACTGCGATGACATTCCAAGCAGTGGCAACCTGGAGACCCTGCCAAGGATGCTGAAATCTTTTCTCACCTTAGAGAGTATTACCTACAGTTAGAAATTCAGCCAGAGTCTGGTGTAGACCTGAATCAACAGGCCATGTAAATTAAACCCACAGAGGGTGCATCTGAAGGAGCAGAGACCCTGTCCAGTAATATCTGGCACAAGGAGCCCTGGAACTGAGCAGTGAGCAGTGGAGTGACTTACCGAGAGGAAAGCGTGGACAATATCAGCCTTAATGGAGCTTAGTGGTTTGTCCTTAATGACCACAAAAATCTGTTCTTCTTTCTCCAGGTTGATGAAGTTACCGAACCAGGACTTTTTGGCAAGCCTGACATGATGAAAAGAAGGAGATGGTTTAGAATATTGAGCACTATTTCTTACATACTCCCAGCTAGAAAAAAATATTTAAAAACACACAAAGAAGTTTTGATAACACTCCAGATGTGATACTATTACTAATAGTAAGTGGAAAAGAGTTTCAGAGAACATCTAGAACAACATTTCACTAGTGAAAACTGTTCAAATCACAGATCACACAGTGTTAGCCTGGCAGAATGTGTGACCAACAATGAAAAATCAGGAGCACTGGTAACTCTGAGTCAATATAGCAATAAATACAAAGAAGAACAAAACTCCACCTCAGCAGTGACCTGAAATTTGCACTCATTCCCCATCCCAGAGGGCTCCACGAATCACACAACCATCGTCTCGCTGCCCACTGAATGCACACACAGTAGAAAGGCCACCACTGGAAGACAGCTCAGCTGTGCAAATAATCATTTGCTTCTACTTACTGCAGGCAACCAAAAATAAGAGCATAGAAAGATTCACTTGCAATTCCATAAACCAGTGCCCCCCACTCAATTAAAGTGGGCTGGAAAACTGTCTCTCCCTAAAATATTCATAGACAGCTGTAGCTAAACCAGTGGGCCAGAGATTAGCAGAGGGAGCCATAAAGAGAAAGGGCCTCTCATTTAAATGGGTCGTTAAGGAGCCAGGGTTAGAGTGTGAAAGGAAATTACATACTAATTAGCTCATGTGTCTCGCACACACCATAACAACTCGGCAAGCCCCTGGAGAGCTAGGGCAGTAGCTCCTGCATGTAAAGGGTCTGTGCTCATTAGTAAATTAGCACCTGGTTATCCATCTAAAACGGCTGGTTGGCTTGGGCTTGTGTGTGTCATCATCAGAACCAGGGCTGGCTATTGGGACTCCAGGGGCCCAGTGTATGTCACACGTAGAAGCTGGGCCTGGAAAAAACTGTGCATATTTAATTGCAAGCCTGCCATGTTAAAATATGGCTTTTAATTTTTGTGTTTTCATCAATGGTTTTGTTGGCCCTTCGTTTATAGGTCTCTTAACGAGCACAGGTTAAGAGGGTCTCAGAATGTAGGGATGTTTTCTCCTGTTCAGCTTGGAAACTTGGTCTGGAGTCTCCAGAGTCCAGCTAGGCTCTTTTCTTCAGCAAGGTTATCACCAGTAACACTGACTCTGGAAGATTCACTGATAGCCTGGGCTATGCTCCAGCTTGTAAATCACTGGAATTCACTCAATAATTTTGCTAGTGCCATATAAGATGGAATAGATGCCAGTGGCCTCTCCTGTTTCTGGAATGAACAGAATAAAGACACAGCACACACACACACACACACACACTGGCTTTTCTCCGTGCAATTGTCAGAACTAGCTGTGCTCACACACCTGGGGAACAGGCCCACTGATAAAAAGGGGGCAGCTTTGGGGTAAAAAGACACAATAAAGGTTTCCCTCCTCTTAGAAGGTGTTAAGGGCTACTAACATGGGTTAAAATGGGAATGAATCAAGGATCCTCAGCACCCTGAACGAGATGCTTTAGCATCTCACAAGATCAAGTTGAAAGCAGTAAAAATTGTACTTAAAATTCACAATCTTCTCTTGTTGTGGCAAACCTCCTAAGGGGGAGGGAGATAGGAGATATGTGTGGGAGGCTGGGGAGGTAGATTACTCCAGGGAATGTAATCAGGTGTCCAGTTGATGAAAAAGCAAATAGATTAGCATGAAAATGGAGGCTGGTGCTTTATTACTTCACGCTGAATTTCTCACTGCCTTAATGTTGTTCCTT